TGATTTGATGAGTTAACTTATGATAAGAGATCTACTGAAGTTAGCTTTGTACCCGAAGACAAGGTATGGTTGTATAATCCCAGGAATACCAAAGGGAAGTCTCCTAAGTTGTCTTCTCCATGGGAAGGCCCATATTACATAGTGGATCGTCTCTCAGACGTGACTTTCTGGATAAAATGTGGTCGGCGAGGTAAGCCAAAAGTGGCGCATGCCAATAGGCTTTGGCGTTATCACGATCCAGGACATTTCAGTTGGGATGAAGTGAACAACAGAACAAATGATGCTGCTGAAGATGTGCCACCTGAAGAAACCACCGTCGAAGAAGAAACTCTAGTCAGTTTTGAGAAGGGAAACGGTGAAGCTCTTGATGAAGTTACTACCACTGATGTGACTGTTACCGATGATAGGACATTTCCTGATGAAGCAGATGAACCCCATATGAAGCAGAAGCCAACGAGACGGAGACCAGTTCGGAAGAAGAGACGTCCAGTAAAATTAAGAGACTTTGTTGAATTGTAATTTTGTGTTTGTAATTCTGTACATTTAATTAAGTTATTGTTAATTGTTATTGGTTTAATGTAAGTGGCTATTGTTCGGGACGAATAATACTAAGGAGGGGCAGTGTTGCATCAGTGGAGGTCACGTGACTAGTATCACGCCACTTCTTTCTAGAAATATCCTGTTCCTTCATGAATGCCCTAGCATTTACAAGATATGTGTTAGTCTTGTATATATAAGACGGTCACAACATGACGGGGCAATAAGTAATTGAACTGCAGTCAGAGAGTGTGTAATTGAATGGAGTATTGTTGAAGTCGAGCTCGTGAGAAGTTCGTTGAGAATTATAGCGTTTGTTATAGCGCGACTGTTGAAATTAAGTGTATCGCAAAGTTATGTTCAGAAAGAATAAACCAGTTTTATTTAAGAAAGGACTTGTGTCGCTAAAGTTTCGTCGGAACGAATTTACGGAAAATTAACTAACGAACGGAGACGTAACAATATACAAGACTACTACATATCTAGTAAACGCTAGATCATTCAGGAAGGCACAAGATATTTCTAGAAGGCAATGACGTGTTACTAGCCTCACGTGATTTCTGCTGTCGTAATTCACTTAAAGACACCAGAAACTCTATCTGTTAAAAAGGTCTACCCCCGAAATGCAAATTAGACAAAAAGAACGAAAAGCCGTATCAATCTCTTTTTAGAGGAAAATCTATAAGAGGCCTTTTCGCATCATATTAGAGACGTAACACTATTGTAATATTTGCAGCAATGGCCACTACTTCTATTGGACAAGTACATCTATCCCTTTCCAGTCTTTTGACAGGATTGGTAAGTTTATTATGGACAAGCCCACTTACGTATGATAAGAGTTTTTGGTTCAGTGTAGTATTTCCCAGTGTCTAAAATTAGAGCACTTGTTTGTCTCACAACCTGGCC